CAGTAGGTCTAAAAAATGTTATATGGTAGCCTAGATAGTTGCCAGCCCAGCAGCTATTCAGGACTGATGACTTGTGATTTATTAAATGGAAATAACTCTCAATTATATGGCGCATTTTCCTGACTACTGAATTACGAATACCTATTGTTCCCCATACTCTCTGTCTTCTTTATGGCTTGAACACAATACCGCTTCACCAGAGGGAAGGCGTCGAATGCAGTATGGCATTCCTGCCGATCCATCTTTCCACTTCTAAGCAAAGCTGTTGTTAGAGGGAGAAAGAGTCAAAGCCAGGGATGGAGTCTAACAAGAAAAGAAAGCGATCCCTCGCCTTCGTTATCACCTTTCTGTAACTCTGAAAGGCATCACAAGTAACTTTCAATTAAAGAAGCTCACCGAGGAGTGCGCTGCATGGATAAAGTTAAACCCCAGATCATCTTAAACCCTTGCTTCAGTGTCACGCGTGGTGGGACGGCAGGCATCTTACTTAACCTGCCAGCGCCCAGTTCTCCTGGGGGAACAGATCAGAGCACATCTGCCCTTGCTATCTCCCTGGAGTCCTAACAGCCAACTGAGATAATACAGAAGAAAGCACTTCGATGAACAAGCAGAGGCACAGTATTCAAAATGTACAGAAGGGACAAGAATGGCCTGCAGGCACTGGGTTAGGTACTCAGGGCACAACCAGGAAGAACACATCTCAGCACTTAGGACTTTATATAAACTACTTGTGTATTATCCAGCAACTGGTTTTCCTGCAGAAGTTACCGAATCTTGACAATGTGCATTATAGAATGATTGTTTGTAGTTGTGCATCAGTCACTTTAAAAAAAAGTTCTTTTATTGCTGGCTTTTACTGATGCACCTTTCACACTGAGAATCCTAAAACATCCTGGGAAATGATCGCCCCCATTCCATAATGGAATGAGAATAACATTAGCTTGTAGTGGGCTGTTCTCATCTTCAGATGGACTAAATGATGAGATGACCTCATATTCAACAATCCAATCCCAAGGGCCTTAACCCTTGGTGCAGCCCAGCATCAGCTGGGAACCTTCTCAGACCGCAGCAAACCAACCGAGCATCTTCCCCAGAGGGCTTGAGTCAAGAGGGGACTCTTGGGCGGTAGCTGGGCATCAGCGTACTTTTTTTTTTCTTTTAATTTCTACAAGAGGTGCTGATATCAAAATCTGAGATTCATTGGTTTCAAAACCAATAAACTATGGGAGTTAATTTTGACAGGAAAGTACGTGTAATTTCCTTTGCAACTCATATTTCAATCTACCATCGTCTACCCTGAGCTACCCTCTAATTAACTTCCCAGAATAGTTGGGCCTCCTTTCAATTCACCCTCCATATTGTAACCAGAGTGATCTTTTTGAATTAAAAACATCAAAATTCCATCTTCTGCTAAACCTCCCCTTAAAACACTTTAGTGGCTTCTCACTACTCTTAGGAAAAAAATAAAAATCAGAAACTCAGCCACAATTCCTAAAATGTCATTTTTCTCCCCTTCAGTCTAGTTTTATAACATGTTCCTACTGTGTCTTTAGCTTCGTCTTCTTATGACTGTACTACCCACTTACTGCCACAGGGCCCTTGCACAGTTGGTTCCCTCTGTCACCATTGCCTGGACTCCTTACCTCCATCTTCCTCACTCCTGTCCTTTGTTTGGCTAAGTTATTTCTTTCCTTAAGGTCATCCTGGCTCAGATACAACTTCTCGGAAGATTTCCCTGAAGTTCTCAAACAGATCAGATTTTTAGCTCTCTACCTCTCCCTACTGTACAACTTACAACACTGTGTACTTTCTTTCATATCAAACCCTGTAAAAACTTTTTATTTATCTGTGATTATTTCATCTGTCTCATTTAGTAGTCTGTATGCTCATGACAGCCCAGACCACATCTGTTTTGCTTTGTTTGTTATAATTAACTTACCATCATTTTCCCATGCCAGGTGTGTCACAAGATAGACACTCAATAAATATCTGCTGGTTGGGTGGTTGGTTGAATGAATGAATGACCGGAAAGCCAGTTAAAGCAGGCAAGTGTGCCTAATTGTGGTGATCTAGGACTAGGCTCTCTTGCCTTTGCCCTGTTTCTTATTCTCTGAAGGGAGTTTTGGTATCCCGGTCTCGGATGGCAATTACAGCCCAAGGAAGTCAGAGGCCCATGACTGATGAGCCCCAAAGAGATGCATTGACAGCTGTGTTAGGCTTATGAAGCACCTGAGAGCCTCTGAAGGCAAAAACATGGCATCTAGTATGTTCCACTCGAGTGGGCAAAGCTTCACAGCAGCAGGGATGAAATCTGCTGCCTTGGCCCCTTGGTGCCCTTGTCTCCTGGTATGGAGGATCAAGCTCAGGGGCCTGCACTCACATCAGGGAGAGTGAGAGTTAGAGGGATCTTCCTCATAGTGGACGGAGTATCCTAAAAGCATCACTCCTCTGTGAAGGCAGCCCTACTGATACGGTCGTTCCAACACTGTGGCTCCCTTCTTCCATCTGTTACGTACATGGGGAACACTGTCATGAGCAGATACTGAGGAACACTTTCAGGCCAAAAGACTGGCATGACAGACAGTGGACATCCAGACAGAATTTGAGAGGAGTTTTCAGTCATTGAAAGAGGTCGATGTCCAGGCCCACAAAAGCAGAATGGTGAATACGACAGAAAGGGCAAGACCGGGAGACTCAGGCAAGGATGGCCCGAGTCAGACTTTTCTCAGGTGTGTGGGTAGCCGCTGTCACTTGTGGGGACTGAGGTAGAATCAGCTGAGATGTTTGTCTCTACTCTGTGCTCTTGCCAATGGAGAGCCTTACCTGAGGCCCACTCTGTCTCCACAAAGAACCCTAAATCTCTCTTTCTTTCTCAGTCTCTCTCTCTCTCAGTGCCCTTCCCTCCCTCTCTCCTCACTTTCTTTCTTTCTCCCTATTTTCCCTCCCTCCTCCCTCTCTTCCTTCCTCATTTCCTCCCTACCTCCCTCCCCTCTCCCCCCTCTCTCTTTTTCCTTCCTTCTTCACTCTGTCACTCCCGCTCTTTCTCAGAATTTATATTGCTATTTTCTTTCATGGTTAACCCAGTTAACCCTAACTATTCCTGATGTTTTCCTCAGACACTTGTCCCAGATGATGTGAGTAGATTTTAAGGTGGTTTCTTCCTCTGTGCCCATACCTAAGACTGGCTGGCAGCCCCTCTGCTGAAAATCCAGAAAACATGAGAACTGACCAGAAACAGCACCGAGAAATTGACCAGTCTGATTTGTGCAAATGAAGGACAAGTCAGCAAGAATGGTTGACCTTTATATTTATTAGCGAAGGGAATTGAAGTAATTGCACTGTGTCTAGGCTTGTGGATAATTTGTCTTGTAGTTCCGAGTGGAGTTTCTTTTTCTCACAGGAGGGGAGAGTTCTTGCTCATGTCTTCCGTGAGAGTTAGCTGCCCTGCCGTGTGCCTCCCACACAATGCTTGGCTGGACATAGATCAGAAGAGTAGGTCACAGAGATTCATAGGATTTGAACTGCTTTTCCTTTCTCTGTGAATTAATCTTCTAAATGTCAGCATTTTAAACTTGGCCTTTTCAAAAAATATGATACCATATGAACCTTACTTAATCGAAAAAAATTTTTTTTTCTAGTTCAAAGGGTTTTAGTGTGTATGTGGTTTTTTTAAGTTGGTTTTTTGTTTTGTTTTTTGGTTGTTTTGGTTGTTTGTGTTTGTTTTTTGGGGTTTTGGTGTATTTTTTTTTTTTTTTTAGGTTTCTCCCCTAAAAATGGGAAAAGCTAACAAAACAAACAAGAAAACTTGATAAAGGACAGGCTGCATGGGATGGAAGCTGGTTTTTGTCAGTTGGGTCTAAGAAACTTTGTTCCTTAAGAATCTCTACTATTATTCCCAAAGTGTTTTCTTATAGATCTGGAATTTTAGAAAGCAGATCTTTATCCTCTCTCTCCTTGCCTCCCACTGGGAAATTTAGATCTATATGATTCTGATCCAGCTATAAAATGGGGATTGCACGTCCTTCACAGCTGCGTGGTTTTGACAGTCGTTGATTTGGTCCAAAATTTTACGGAGGATTCATCAACTCACATGTCTTGTAACAACCCTTTGAGTGAAGAGAGTAAGGTATTATTGTGCCCATTTCATAGATGAGGTAACTGAGACCCAAGGAGGCTGAATGACTTGGATGAAGTCATGCGACTTGTTATTGGCGCCCTGGACTCAAGCCCGGAGGGGCAGCTGTGCTTTATCCCCCTCTGATGAATGAAATGCAGGTCCACAGAGATGGGTTCAAATCCTAGGTCTGCCCACTAACTAGCTGTGTTAACCTTGAACAGATAATTAAATCTTTCTTAACGTCAGCATCCCTACCTGTAAAGTGGACAGATGTGGCCTGTTTTTTCTCTCCCAGCTAAGATTCTGTGAAGAATAAAATGATAATCATTTTTCTAGCACAAAATACCGAAGTGTAAAAGAATTAACCATCATTATCTTAAATAATAATAGCGCTGAGCCCAGTGTCCTATCAGGTGTGAGACAAGGTGTCTTTTAACCTTCTTCTAACATGACTAGGGAACCAGTAATGAGAAGGGGGACTCAAGGGTCCTGAAAACCTGGGAAGAGGTCTATAACCATGAGGGTAGGCTGAATCGTTAAAGCTGTGTGTGTACACCTTTTACTCCTGGGGATAAGAGTATAAACAGATCCCTCAGAGAAATTGACTCTCAAGTTAGAGCTGATTGTCAAACACTTAGTTTTCCAAATCTTGAAACTTTTGGTGGTGGATGCCCTTCCGATTTGGAGAACATCCATCTTGGTAAGCTCCGGTCTGCCAGGCAATGTCACAGGGATTCTGTCTAATGCAGATAGATGCTCCCAGCTGCAGGAGGGGGCCGGAGTCCACCACAAGCCCCGAACCAGGGACTGGGACGAGCCCCAGCCCCTGGAGCAGAGGCGGCCAGCACCGACTCCCCTTCTCTGACGCTGGGCTGTTTTTCAGGGTGACGTCCAGAGGACACTCATCCAAGTGGACTTCGGTGACGGCATTGCGGTGTCTTACGTCAACCTCAGCTCCATGGAGGACGGGATCAAACACGTCTATCACAACGTGGGCATCTTCCGAGTGACGGTGCAGGTGGACAACAGTCTGGGCTCTGACAGCGCCGTCCTGTACTTACATGTAACTTGTATGTTATTACTGTTGTTGGTTTATGACATATTTCAAATATTGTGTCCTTTGAAAGTATAACTCAGAGCTTCCTGTCTAGAAGCAGCTCACCAGTTACCTTTAAGGAGATGGGGAGGGAGGACAAGAGAGCCGAGTGGGAGAAAGTAGAAGGAAAATCAGGGAGCAGAGCCTGAATAATCCTAGAATTTCTGTTGCTGCGACTTGTTCTCATTGGACTTACTGTGCCTTTTCTAGGCGCCTCTGAGACCATACCCCTGTGGCTGGCGGCTGGTGGCTGGGCCGAGCTCTTGGATTGCATATGAGTTTGTCACCATTTTTTTTTTTTTTAAGTCAGAAACATTTAAAAACAATTCCCACGTATGGCTTAATCCAGTACATTGAGAATTAGCACGAGTGATGAAATTTCTACCCACCTCCCATGATACGTCCCGCTGTAAATTATGCTTTTAGACTTTTGCTTCTTTTTAAAGGTGTTTCCTGGGCTCTTATCTGTGCTGTTTGGTGTTAGAGGGAAGGCGGCATCAGGCGAGGGAAAGAGCTGCATTGAGAAGTAGTTCCTAGAAGTGTTGAAGCATCTGTCCCATCGAGGGATGTGGAGGTGTGCTAAGTCTGATGAGGTCACAACAGCTCCTAAGTTATGTGTCAGGCAAATGTGCACCACGAATGCCTCTGGTGGCAGGTGTGTGGGTGTCCCCAGACAGGCTTGTGACGTGTTCAGGTTGCTACAGAAATGCTTTGCTTTAAAATGAAAGTAGCTATGTGAAGCCTGAGTGACGTAATGGATAAGGAGCTGGCCTTCTAAAATGAAAGTAGTTCCTTTTACGAATGGCCTTGTCCAAATTAATTTTAAATTCTAGACCAGGAGTGTTAAGACTGGGCAGGATTCCATGCCTCCCACCTGCCTCTTGCCCACTGAACTGATCACAGAACATACCAACTAGAATCCTTTTTTCTTAAGCTGCTGTGGTCCAGTGGGAGGACAAGACTACTTAGGGATTCCCCGGGTGATTGTTCATTCCCGAGGATTCCTGCAGTATCTGTAATTCTCGATCTTTCTCTCCCACACACTCATGACAGAGGTGCTTTGAAGAAACACTTCCTCTCTTCTCTGGGTTTAAGTGAAGTTTTACAAGATTCCCAGTCGGCACACTCCTCCTGCCTCTTTTCAGCTGAAGTTTATTAAGCAATTACTATGCACCAAGCCTTGTGCTAAGCAAGCCCTTTGCATGTCTGATCTCACTTCTCAGGACAACCTGAGGAAGTCAGCACTATTAGAAACCCTACTTTACAAAGAACGGCAGGGGCCAGAGAGCTTGAATAATGTATTTGAAATTGCAAAGCCAGGCTTCAGACTCAGGACTTTCCATCTCTGGAGCACCAGCCTTTGATCCCTGAGGTCATTGTCCGTGCTGTCAGTGATGGAACTTGTCCCCTCCACTCCCTTGCAGATTGTCCCAAAGGAGCAGGAGCAACTACATAGGTTCAAGGCACATTTCAGAGGCTCCCTTTCTCCTGACTCAGTGGCAGCCCCTCCCCTCTCCAGGCTGTCCTGCATGGACTTTCTGGAGTTATCTCTTACTAAGGAGTAATCTTCCTTACTAAGGAATGGTCAAGGAAATCTCTCAGAAATACATCACAAACGTTGGTCATTGGTAGCAAAACTAACTTATAACAGACGTGGGTACATTTGCTGGGAATGGCTGCCTACCCAGCAGCCTCTCATTTTCCCCGGCTTATTCAGTAAGGGGAGGGTTTTTGTTTGAGAGCTGCTCTCCTGAAGAATTACAATAATTTTAGTCCATATCTTGTATATGTATGAAACGTCTACCGCACTCTAACCACATGTGAATACGGATTTGAAATGCCACAGCTTCTTGGTCTCCGTTTCTTGGGCTCTCCCATAGATCACCCACACCTTGGCCTCCCCATCGCCCCTTTGAGTTCATCCTCACCCCAGGAAATGATCGTATCCCTTGAGGGCTAGCTCCCTGCCCTGGCCCTCTGCCGGGTTTCCTCAACCCTGGGAAGGAAAACAGCACAGAGATCAAAGGTTGCTGACACCAGGACTTCTAAAAGAAATAAGCTTCACTTTTTCCTTTTTTTTTTTTTTGTTTTTTTCCTCCTCATTAGCCTCGTTAAGTGGCTCAGCAGTTTGACTTTCCCCTTAGTGGCACCTGCTTTGTAAGGGGCATTTTTGTGTTCTGGTTCTAATTTTGTTAGGCTCATCCTGGGTTCAGTGTTTGGATAAGCATACCTCCTATAATGGAACCCCTCTACAAGCATGACTTTGGGCATAAGAATTAACTGTTTTGTACTAATTCTATCGAAGCAAGACTCTGCCTCACCTGATGCCTCCCCTGTGACAGGCATGTTGGGGCAGAGAAAGCAAAGATGGGAGAAGGACTTCCTCTTTGACGCTGTTTTACGCTCAGAGGAAGTCAGAACAAGACCATACTTGATTAACATTCCCCGACATCTCAAACCTGAAGGGGATCATGGCAGTTTTTGGTGCTACAGTCCCAGGTTCTGGGGCCAGAGCCGGGGTGGGGGGCGGTATTTTTTTGTAGAACAAACACATTGGACTGGGTTAGGAGTGGTTAGGTGCAGATACTGGCCTGAACTCCTGGCCAACTCACTCCATTTCTCTGAGCCTAGGTTTTCTCCCCTGTCGTATGGGGAACCCTCATCTTGTTTCTCAGGTTCCTTCAAGCAGAATATGCTGTGATCTGTCAGCTAGTAAAGCTGGCTTCTCCACCATCCCAAAGTAGCGCATGTGTTTCTACATTGGGGGTTCAGAGCAGCAACTCTTAGCTCAGTTTCCAAGCCCGCCCTCTGCTTCTCTCACCAGTACCCCCTCCTCTTTGCCTGGATTTCTCCCCCACTGCCTGACTTGATGGCATTCTCTCTCTCTCTGCTCTCCAGGTCAGAAAGGAGATTTGATTTCAAATCAGAGGGTTTTGTTTTTGTTTTTTTAATACGGGTTTGGAAGGTCATCAGAAACAAATGGAGATGATGTGCCTGCTCTAACTTTGCCAGGAGTGGGCCAGCCATTCTCGCTGAGAGGCTGCGTAATCTGTTGTAGCTGACAGTTGGAAAGTCCTTGGGGATAGGATTTACCGTGCTCTGCGAGTTTGCAAACTAACGAGACATGCGGTGCAGCCGGGGTTCCCTTCAGCTGGTGGAGCAGGGGATAGAAGTTAGAGGGCATGCAGATTTCTGCTCAGAAAACTACCCCATCTCAGCCAGTCTTGCAGAAAAAAGTCACTGAAAACTGTGCAAATTTGAAGAATGGGAGGTTTAAAAAAAAAAAAAAAAGATGAGACAGATTTTCTAGTTCTTCCCGAATCTTTCCAACTACTTCTGTGCATAGGTACCATTTGCTGATGTCTTTCTGTTCCTATCTTAGGGTAAAATGTGATTTTCTTGAAAACCTACACAGCTTTGCAGCTTTTCACGTGATTATCATTTGGTCCAGCAAATGTCAAACCCGAGTTTTGTAAAGTGTGGCTTTATGAGTCACGTGCCCCAGAATTACATGATAAAAATATAGTGTCCTGGACCTCATCCCAGACCTGCTATCTTGGAATTCCTAGAGGTGTGGCTCATCGTCTGCCTTGAAGAGATTAGTATAATCTTTATGCACTTTGAAGTTTCAGAACTCTGTTTCAGGATCTCGTCTTTATCCTTTGAACTACTTTTACTTCTTCTAGCAGGTTTTTAACATTTCACATAAACAGCCATGTAATGCACACACAATATTTAATTTGGTGGTCGGACCTGGTCTCCAAAACAAATGGCAGAGGCAGTCCCCAGCAGTTGTTACATATGTGCACATTTGTGCACGCGTGTACGTGCACGCGCGCGCGCGCACACACACACACACACACACACACACACACACAATGTTCAGCCTCACAAACATCAGCTGCTTTCTGTAGCACATTAGGGCTAAACTGGGAAAGAGGGAGACCCAATTAACACAAGTTATTTCCCAGTTCCCTCACCCACCTGGCCTGGAAGATTCATATGGAGTGATGCAGCGCCACCTGCCGTTCCTTTTGTGCATCACAAGCACCTGTCCGCCGGAGCCACTTCTGCCGGCTTGTTCAGCTCTGGATTTAGAGCAGCCAGCCAGCTGGGGGCCCCCAGGGGCTGGAGTGTACCTTCCGCAGCTCAGCGGGCTTAGTGAGGACTGCACGCTCTGTACACAGAAGAGATGCTTAAAAGATAGGCTTTGGGGCAGCAGGTGTGTTAAACGCATGAGAAGTAAATGAATACAAGAGGACAAGGTGGGAATATGAAAGGCAAACTGCGCACATGTGAATGAACGTGTGATGTGTACACCTGCCATAATGAACGCGTGAGAACACACGCATGCGTACTTCAGCGCCTACAAGCTGATGCGCTGTGCATTCTGAATCCTTCTTGGATCTCATTGGCTCCCCCTCTTTCCCTCCATCTCTCCCCTGCAGCCACTCGGGCGTTCTTGCTGTTCCTCAGACTTGGCAAACAAACATCCCCCTCAGGGTCTTTGCACTTGCCCTGCTCTCATCCTGGAGCATCATGAGGAGTGTGGGGGGGTACTCCTTCCCTTTATGCAGGTCACTGCTCACATGTCATTTCTTCTGAGAGACAAAAACAGCCCTCTCTCGCCTCCCCCAGCTTTATGTGTTCAGTGTCCCCTCCCCCAGTGAGACATGAACTCCGCCAAGTAGCAGGTGTCCCCAGCACCTAGAATAATGCCTGATGTGTGGCAGCCCTCTGAAACTATTGAAGGAATTAATGACCACATTTCACGGAGAAGGTTCCATTTCTGCTGTTAATAGGACCCACAGATGCCATCCTTCCTCTGATGTTCTGACTTTAAAAAAAATATTAAATACTCATATGTGAGAGAGACACAGAAAATGAGTCCCTTAGGATGGAACCGACATGCTTAAGAGAGCTTATCTAGTCCTTGTATTCTAGCTGATCAGGGAGATCACCGATAAGGGGAGTCAGGAAGAACATTCCAGAAGCCTGGTCACTGCCACTGAGACTCGAAGGCTGGCAGGTGCCTTGAGAGAAGTGTCTACCCTGAGGCCTTGGGGCAGCACAGGGCAGCACCTGCTGGAGCAAACCGAGTGATAGGGAACAGCAGAGCCATGAAAGAAATGAGAGCCTGTGTAAAGTGCACTTGCCAGCGCTGGGGGTATATTTCAGTGTTGGGTAGATACTGACTCTTAGTAGCTATTTTGTGAAGATGGGAGAGATCTTTTGGAACATTTGTCACCTGGCCAGAGCATGGGCTTTAAAATCAAACTGCTTTGGCTCACATCCTGGAATCGATGTTTCCTCACTGCATGACCTTGGGAAAGTCATTGTCCTCTATTTGTTCATCTTTAGTTGGAAATGACAGTAGTGCCTGTTTCTTGAGGTTGTTGTGAGGAGCAAACAAGAATGAAAAGAGTCATTAGCAGAATATGTGACACATGGTCATCACTCAGTAGATGCTGCCTTTTTTTTTTTTAAAGCACATTGAACCATTCTGACTTATGAACAACTACTTCTTATCATATGCTTTATAAACCAGAAAATCAATTCTATTCTGTATGCAGGTCACCAAGCCTCTAATTCTTTAAAGAGAGAGAAGCACAGACAAAAGCAGAAACAAGAAATTGTTCACCTACCCAACAAACATTCGATTACCTGCTACATCTCGGGAACTATGCTAGTCTTTAAATACAAAGATAAATATGAAAGACTCTTACCCTCCAAAAGTTTGATTTTAGATCAATATGTGTTAACTGTCATCATCATTATTAGGTAATGGGAATTTTAATTTCAAACCGGTAGCATGATCAGCTTGGCTTTCTAGAAAAATCACTCTCACCACAGCTTGTAGTATGAGAAGATGCATAGTCATTACCATCCGTAGTATGAATGTATGATGTGCATACATGTAAGGATGAACTCATATAAATACACATATGCATACCTCAGAGCCTACAAAACAATATACTATGTGTCCTGAATCCCTCTTAGATCAGGGATCTAAGCCGCTCGGGCTTTTTTTCTATTCTGCAAACACAGAGAACCACCTCCCCCTCAAGATCTTTGCACTTGCTCTACCCTGACCCGGGAGTCTATGTTTTATTCTGGGTGCTGAGGACCCTGGCACCGGGTGTAACTGGTTATTACTGCAGAGGGTACACAGTAAACACACAGAGCAGGAGGGCGGATTAGCTTGGGGCAGGTTGGAGGCAGGAAGAGAGGTACGGCTCGTGACAGTCCAGCTGTAAGAGCCAGGGAAAGACTGAGGGCGGGGAGGGGAGCTCTCACCAAGAGACATTTATGAAACCAAGTCAGTGGTTTCCAACATAGAATGGGTGACAAGGAATAAGGAATCCAGGTTGACTTTCTGCTTCTGGGCTGGTCCCCTGGATAAACATTGTTTTCCATTCATCAAGACATGAAGAATAGAGAATGGGGAAAAAGATAATGAATTTCTTAGGATCATTAGGCTCCTCATTGAGTCCCGAGTCGGGTAGGTGGTTTTTGAGTTCTGAGCATGTGCTTTATAGTGGAAGGTCAGCGTGTAGATGAGAATACTCAGCAGAACAGTATATGGAGGGGAAAAAGGCCAAAGTCAGTATCCTAGGAAAGCCATTTAAAGACCCAACAGAAGAGGTGGTGATTAAACCAGGTGGAAAGGTGCCAGTTTCTTCTCCACCTCATGGAATAATGATGGGGTGACAGACTTTTCCCACATTCACCTCAGAGAAAACTGTATTGCCTCAAAGGGAAGACCAGGGGTCAGAGGAGGGGCCCTACCGATTGTCTCTGAAGAAGGGACTCAAAGCTTTGTGGGTTCATGCGTCTGACCAAGGCTTCTCCCTAATGGACCTCCATAGCTAGGATCATCCCCTTTTTCAGCTGAACACATCCTGAGACCCACAGAGTTGTCTCCTTGCTTATGCGTACTTGGGCCTCGACACGCTGAACTGAACACCGAGCAGTTTGAACCGGGGGGGCGTTATGTATACTCGTGAAGAGAGATACTTCCACATGCTCTCACACACAAACACAAAGATTTATACATATACAGATCTTGAAAATCCCAGCAAAGAGTCAAGAATAGTCACATTTAGAATGGTGTGGGGGTCTGTGCGTAAACCCTACCCCCAGCCCCCATGGCCATGCACATGGAGTCTGTGAGGGTTCCATCCTCCCGGTTTACCTCCGCAGACGCAACTTCTTGGGAAGACTTCACATCTTTCTGGAAATCCTTGTTTATGCCTCTTTATTTAAAGAATTCAGAAATTACTTGTAAGTTTTTAAGGTTTTATACATAAATAACTCAGGTTTTAGGCCTGGCAGAAATATCAGTAAATGGAAAATACTGAGACACAATGGGTCCCAATAATATCTTTTCTCCCTAGTAGGGAAAACCCCTTCTCCTCAGGGAGTATGACTGTGATGTTTTGGAGGCTTCCAGAATGAGTATGTATTCTCTTCAGAGCAGGGAAGGGGAAGCCCAGAAAGCTCTTCCTTCTCTACGCCTCGTCTTTTCTCTCGTGCCTCAGGTCCCCTGGAACACGTACACCTGTCTCTTCCTTTCGTCACCACAAAGAACAAAGAGGTCAATGCAACGGCAGTGCTGTGGCCCAGCCAAGTGGGCACCCTCACTTACGTGTGGTGGTATGGAAATAACACGGAGGTGGGTCCACTCAAACTGGCTGAAGGTAAAAAGGAAAGGAAAGGGCTTGTGTAACCCAAGAGTCTACGAGTAGTCCTGGCTCCGGGGACAGTAGTCTCATCGTGCCCCAGTAATGTCATCAGCGTGTTCCCTCTGTCCCTCTGTCTCTATCTCACCACACCACCCCTGCCCTTCACCTATGCCTTCCTCTGTGTTAACCTTCTTCTCCAGCTGGCCTTCCCTTTGCAAAGGGCTTAGCAGCAGCCTGAGCTTTATACTCTCACAGCTTAGCAGAGAAAATAAACTGACTTTCATAGAAGTTCTAACAGAAGTCCTGGAATGGAGTACTATTGACCAGGCCTTCCCAGTGCTCAGGGTAGAAAAAGACGTGTTGAAGTCAGTCTCCTTGGAACCACATGGACCAAGAGAAGGGGGAAAATGGTCCCCCAAAAGGGGAAAAAAAAATAGATACCAGACCGTCAAAAGCAAAAATACTTACCACAACCTGGCCCCCAGATGGCCTCCTCCCTTGAATCAGACATGGCCACTCCTTTCTCTCAGCTTTACCCTTTCCGTTTTCCCAGAACACACCCTGTGATCAAAAGTCAACAGCAACTTTAAAATGAGCAGAGACCTTAAACTTCATTTACTTTAAGGCCTTCGTTTTTCAGATGAAAAAATCAGGAGGACACACACGAAGGGATTTCCTCCCTCCTCGTTCATCTGCTTCACGAGGAGGCCGGATCCAAGGCCTTCCCACGCCCACGCGAATTTTCCTTCCCCTGATACCAGGCTGAAAGCTCCATTTTGAACTTTATCCATTCTCACAGATTACAGTTTGCCTCCAAATGTCAGTTAAGGCGGTCTGGGCGAAGGCCTCCCCAAAGGACAGTGGCATGAGCTGCTCAGAACAAGAAAGCCTCATCCTCCAGCAGGGCTGCTCTCCTGCGCTTGGTGACTTAGCTCTTCAAAGAGAGTGCATCTTATCCTGACATAAATCTTTTTCTACCCCAGAGCTGAATGTTGGCTCTAATAGGAGTCATAATTTTGCCTAGGCCCAGGGAGGAAACCTCTCCTCACCCCAGACCTCCCACTTGCCTGGCAGGGGAAGGAAACTCTCACATCTCCTGCTAATTTAACTCCACTGAAAAGAAGCTTTTTAAAAATTTCTTCTGAAACTATCCATGTAAATGTGGCCTAAGTTAGGCCCAGTACCTACAGTGGCAGAGGAGAAATCCAAGTTATTTGCGTAAAATGTAGTGTTGGAGGGGAAAGGTACTAAACAACTTTCTTCTGTGTCTCTTTTTCTTTAATGTTTTTTAACCTGACAGCAGAAAACCAAATTCTCAACAGATTACATTGAGTGGGTTTCTTATGCTGGGCGCTAGCCTTCCCTCTGCTACACAGGGAGCTGGTTACATGAATTTAGATTTTTAAATTAATTAAGACAGGAAAGAAATGTTTGTAGGGAATGAGTGGAGGGAGGTCAATAGGCTAATCATCTTTTCCTCTAGGACCCCGGCGTCCGATTATATCACAGGCACGACTCCAACTTGTAATTTTTTTCAGTCCTCAAACCACTGTCCAGTTAGTACTTGTTTCCATAGCAGCTACTTCCAGAAACGGCTGATAGGGCCTTTCAGAGGAGTCAAGCCACACAAGGCCACTTGTAGTCTAACGAGGACAGTTTTGGTGTCCATGTTGCTGTGTTCCATTGTAATGTTCTGTGAATCGTACCCCCTAGAGATGACCGACTGCAAGCTTGGAGATTCTCAGTGACTGCCCGCTACATCTGGATTAGCATGAGCTGCCTGTTTGGGTCTGATTTGAGTATTTCTTTGTTTTAAGAGACCTGCCAGTTATGAGTAGGCTGCAGATAGAGATCTGTCCCACCACTAAGCAAGGCCTGTCGATCTCCCCAGCCCTGAACCAGGATGACACCGAAAGAGAGGGTCATAGTCACAGGGAATGGTCAGAGTCCCTTGGGGTCATGGCTCTCATAGCTCCTTTCCAGCCCAGACTTGAGATGATGGGGAAGCAGCTGGAGCCATTTGCATGGGGGCACCCCGGGAAGAGCCTGTGCTGACTTAAGTGGCTTTTTGGTGGCTCAGAGCTCATGGCTGGTCTCATTGGTGACTGAGCAGCTGTCCCCTCACTCTGTGCCCTCTCCTGTTTCAGCCTCTGATCACCTTGGAGGGGAGCATATCATTCAAGTTTACTTCTGAGGGGATGAACACCATCACAGTGCAGGTCTCAGCTGGGAATGCCATCCTGCAGGACACGAAGACCATCGCAGTGTACGGTGAGTGCCTGTGTGCCTGCCCCCTTTCTGGCTCACCTTGCTTGGCCTCCCCAGGCTCAAGTGAGGTAGTGTGGTTGTAGGCTACCAGAGGCCCCCAGGCCTCTACCCAGACCACAGAGGGCAGTGGTGGAGAAAGAACTGAGTCAGGTCTGGTCTCATCCTCTGGGGAAGATGTGGTTCCCCAGCATAGTTACGGCCCCAAGACCCCAGGAGGGTTTACTGGTTTGTGTTTTGAAAGGGGCTCTTCTACCCTCACTCACCTGAGGTGGGATAGGATGAGTTTCATTACGTGTACAGCTAATTCATCCCATTTGGTATCTTGGTGATGGTTGAATAACGAAAACCCATTAGAAAAGGAAATAGTTAATATTGAGGCTTTTTTTAAAAGTTCAACTTGAAGAGTCTTGATTATTAAGAACAATCTACCAATATCTAAATATTCCGAGAATCTCTTCCTCAAATATGTATCATCAAAACAAACAAACAAACAACAGCAACAACAACAAGAAGAAGTCTGCTTGAAGGGCGACAACAAGCAGATGTCACGTATCGCCCTGGACTGGATATTAATTTGAACAAACATCTATACAATCTTCTAATCAGTTGGGAAGTTGAATGTAGTCAGTATTGCATGGAATGAAAATTTACTGAAGTGGAAAAAGTAGGATCCCTGACTGAAAATGGGGGATTAAAAACAGTTTCTACAAACTGATCTCATTTTGGTAATTTTTGTCTGCATGGAAAGATGGTCAGGTATGCAGAGTGTTATTAGTGGATGATAAAAATGTGAAGTGTGCTGTTAATATTAAAGTGGTACCTATGCATCATGGAAAATTAAAGTTTAAAAAAAATAAGAATATAAAAGAAGATAGGACAGGTAAATGCTGTGCAGAGAGAGCGCAAAAGGGAGGGATGAAGGGTGGACGGGGAAGACCAAGACTGAGACAGAGAGAGAGAGAGTCAGAGAGAAACTAGCTAGTGGTCCAATAATATCAATTGCCCCAGTCCCAGAATTAAATGGTTCTAATGCAGGTTCTGCTTTTCATTTCTCATCTTACCAACTTGACCTTCAGATTTAAAAAATAATTTATAAGGAACTTTGAACAAGTCTGAGGACACTATTCCGCGCATGCCCAGGAATTAGCTTCATAATGTTTCCTCCTTCCTCCCTTCCCCTGCCTGTCACCCTCCCCAACCTCCTGCAAGAGGCTTGAGAAGCCCAAAGAGTAAGTGAAAGCAAACCAGGGCTGTGGTTTTCCTAACAGGGTCCTATCATGAGGAGACCTGTCAGCCTGGTGGCCACAATGGAGAACTTTTGTTTCTCTTTCCTTCTGCATCTCCTCTTTATACTCTGGGAATGCACTAAATCTTCCTAACAACCCTGGCGTGGGGGTGAGTGGTGTTACTACTCTCATCCATTGCTTCAGCAGGGCAGGTAACTTGCCGCAGCTCGGATGTGTCAGAAATGGACCTCTGACCCAGCCCATCTAGACTGCAGGGCCCATGCTCTGAAGTTACCCCACTAACCAGTCTCGTGGCTGTTCCACATGGGCTCTCTGTCCTCTCTCTTCTTCCTGGAGGTCATGGGTGTCACTGATGGGCACTGACTCATGACCCATTGCCCTCTCACCAGTGGCAGGATTTCTTTCTTTTTATGGCTGAATCATATTCCATTGTATGTCTATACTGTACTTTCTTTATCCATTCCTCTGTCTGTGGACACTTAGATCATTTCCATATCTTGGCTATTGTAAATAATGTAGCAGTGAATGTGGGGATGCAGATCTCCCTCGAAGTTAGTATTTTTATTTCCTTCTTATAAATACGCAGAAGTGGAGTTTCTGGATGATGTGGTAGTTCCATTTTTAATTTTTTGAGGAATCTCCATGGTCTTTTTCTATCTTTCTTGATGGTTACATTTCAAAGAGATGGCTCTAGGTTCCTGAGAAAGGCATTCCTGGTTTGGAAAAGATGTGTATCTCAGAAGAGCAGAGAAGAGATTTATAATTTCAGGTTTTGTAAAGTAAATGCTGGAAGCCAAGGGATGTCAGAGGCCTTCAGTCAGGAAGAAAGTTGTCTAAAACTTAGTTAAGCTGAGGGGAACATTAAGGGCCTTACGGACAGACTGAAGGAAGGATTATATTTGGGAAATTGACAGGGGAAAAACTGTCCACCCCAAGCCACCAAATGGACTGCAGGAAAGAAAATCTGGTTCATCTAGTCTGCATTGTTTCCCTTAATTTGCTTCAGGGCACAGGTTTGCTTTTAAAAAAAAAAAAAAAAAAAAAAAAGTAAATGTGTAGAATTCATCTGCCTCAGCAGCTGCAAACACACACACACACACACACACACACACACACACACACACACACACACGAGTTGGCTCTTGAATGACAGAGGTTTCAGCTGCAAGGGTTCGCTCATATATGGATTTTTGGGTAGGTACAGTCCGGTACTAAAAATGTATTTTACTTTCCTTATTATTTTCTTAATTTTTCCTTTCTCTGGTTTACTCTATTGTTAAGAGTACTGTGTATGATACATGACATACAAAATATGTGTTAATTAACTACGTTGTCAGTAAGTCTCCTGGTCAACAGTTTGCTATTAATAGTAAAGCTTTTAGGAATAATTGTGGATTTTCAGCTACCAGGGTGAGGCATGGCATCCTAAACCACACATTGTTCAAAGGCTCAACTGTGTGTGTGTGTGTGTGTGTGTGTGTGTGTGTGTTTATTACTGGTGTTCACCTTGTTTAGTACTCCCACATGCATCCCCTGCTTTTTGAGTAAACTTAAGTCTAACACTCCAGTGTCCTGCTACTGAGCTTGCTAAGTTATTACAGAGAGAGCCACGTTATTTTTCTATTTGTGTCTTTTTATTAAGATAAACAGCTTCCCTTACACATGATGTTTCCAGTTTGGTAAAGGTTTGGGGAGAGTGGAAATGACATCAACTTACATCTTTAAAGTGAAAAGTTAGGACTCAGTGGCTGATTCCTTGGGACTCTCATTTACATGCTACTAATTAAGATGCATTTCATTATTCCCCATCAGAACTGAAGTGGTGATGTTCATACAGGTGACCAGTGTCTCATAAAATAGTCAAGCTGTGAAAAATATGTCTTTGAAATAGGCTAACTGCCATAATACACTCCTTATAATTTAAGAGTCTTCAAAGCCTGTGTCTGATAAGTCTTTAGCATTTTTAGGAAATGCGCAAGTGGGTTTTTATGTTTTCTGAATGTATAATCAGCATTACCCATGTCACTGAGCCCCTACTGAAACATGAGGACATGCTTTAAACAAGAAAGAAATGTTTGTTGAATAAGTCAATGCATAAATTATAGACAGCCTCCAGCGTTATGTAATTATTTATTTAACAAATTTATTAAAAGACTAGCTAATAATCAAAACCCTACCATGTGCTTGGTATCACCCCACAGGACCAGGAACACGGTCTTCTTGTCCTTGCTGACCTTATGTCTCTGTGTGGGAGACAGGCTGTAAAAACAAAATAATTTAAGTAGCAAGAAGTGCAAAGATGACAGATAGGGTCATATGATGAAAGGTGTCTGAGGTAGCAGAAGGGAGGGTAACTCAGGTTGCTAGTGGCAGAGTTTCTCCTGGGAGACACTGATGGATGATGAGAAGGAGCCAACCATGCCGTATCTGGGGGAGTGGAAGTGTGCTCATGTGGGAAGTTAGCACGGCAGCACGGAGAGGTCCTGGAGCACAGAGGAGCAAGGAGATAGGCAGCAGAAAAAGTCTGCCCTGGCTTATGTGGGATGATGAAGGCCGTGGTTAAGAAGTTGATTTTTTTTTCTAAAAGCCACTCGCAGGTTTTAGGGTGGTGACATGACCTGACTTGTCCTGGGCTGAGTTCCCCATTGCTGGGCTCCGAAACCCATCACTGCCTTGGGCCAACGCCATGCTTTCCAGGTGCTGACCGCAGCTACTGACCGAGTGTGACAGACACTTAAAGCAGACTCCTTCCTGGCATGCAGGGGACTCTTCCTTTGCTGACGTGGCTCAAGGACTCCCTGACAGTCCTGCTGTACCTTCCTCACACTGCAAGGCAGCCACCGAGCCTTCCTCCCTCTCTCCCGCAAGTGTCACGGATGTTTCTGGGGGCTGCAGTGCGCCCCCTCCTCAGCCTCCCCATCTTCTCCTCCTAACACCCTTACTTTTGCAATCTTATCCTACTCTTGGAAGGAGTGAGATGAACTCAGGGATACAGAGACAATTAACAAATTCTTGGAGTTAAGGAGTTTAAAACTCCGTGAAGTAAAACTTCCATACAAACAAAATATAGCAACGGAATGACTATAGGAATAATTATAACCATGGAATCATGGTTATAATAATCATACAATCCTAATGATAATGGGAGTGTGTGCCAGACACAGTAGGGCCATGAAAAAGAACACTGAACCGTGGTGGAGGCAAGTATGCCATCGGTAAGTGCTCGAACGAGAGCTTGAACGTTGCGTGCGTGGCCGAGAGAAAGGGTGTGCGTCCTGCAGGAGGGACAGAGTGCAGAGGCCCAGGGTCACACGCCTGAGGCGCACCCAGGCACTCCAGGGCTCTAGTGTCCTCAAGTGCTCAGTCTAGCACCGGGACCAGCCGGCAGAGGCCACAGAGTGAGGCATGGGCCAGACCTGGGGCTCTGGTTTAGTAAATGAGGGCTGGGGGAGACAGATTCCAAATGAACTAGTAGATTTGCCTTCTAGAAGACCCTGTTTGGTGACTGTGGAAAAAAAGGGCTCTTTGTTAAGGCTTTGCATAAAATATCTAACATGCTTTTGAGGAAACTAGTGGACTCTGAGTCATCACCCGACTGTTGTATCCCCAGAGGAATTCCGATCCCTTCGCCTGTCCTTCTCTCCGAACCTGGATGACTACAACCCAGATATCCCCGAGTGGAGGAGGGACATCAGCCGAGTCATCAAAAAATCCCTGGTGGAAGTGAGTGCAGACGCTTCCTTCTCTTCTGGGGCCCATTCCCTCTCTGTCCTCCACGTGCTGCACGTGAGGGGCTCATGGGCCAAGAACTGCCAGGAAAGAGCTGGAGCCCCTGGGAGGTCTGGCAGGGGCCCTGCCGTCTGCGTTGCTGATCCCAGCATGGGCAGACACAGCCTAGGTGCTCCTGGTGGGGGGATGAACGTGGGGACAAACACACGGTCCTTGCGCCTTGTGAAACTTCTGCTTAGAGCAGAAACACATGGGAATTTGTGACCATCCTCTTCCTACGGCAGGGTTCATGCTCAGCTCACTAGCAAGTGCACAGTCAGCCCCAGGGTCCCATACTGAAGGGACACGGCAAGAATACCGTTAGTGAGAGTCAGCCCGTGACGGTCAGTCATCTCTCTCTGCTCCTGTTCTTTCACAGGCATGTCTCCCCCGCCACAGCCCCAAGAGGATGGCTTTATTGTCCTCATCCTGTGGGCAAAGCCGCTGAGGTTCAGAGAGGTTAAATAACTTGTTTAGGTCTCACAGCTGGTAAGTGATGAAGGCAGTGAAGTGAAGTGAAGGTTCTGAGTCCAGGGTCTGGGCTCGTGCTATGAAGCCCGGCCCCCCGAGGTTTCCGGAAGAACGGCGAGGCGGTGAGTTTTCTCCCTGTCTGAGTAAGCACATCGCCCCCTACAAGCAGACACTTTCATGAGTGAGGCCAGGAGTGGAATAAATGCTCGTGGAGCGGCTCAGATTTATGGTGCAAACCCAGAAAATCAGAAATGAGCTCTCTCTCCAGGACATCTTCTTAGCCTAACAGGAAAATCAGCGCAGGGTGTTTCGTACATCGTTCCCTGGACCCAGCACTGGATGCCTTGTGACACAAAGTGCTGGTGGGATAAAGGCATTCTGGTAAAGCCTGCTCAGAAAACAGATCTCACCTCCAGCCTGTTGGCAAAGGGCTGGCCTTCTCCATACTCATGCCATGGTCTCTGTTAACAGTAATTTCACACTGATGGTATTCCCCAAACTCTGCTCAGTGCTTTGCATTTTTTAGCACATTTAATCACAAAAGAAGTAGCTTATGATGTAGCTGCTGTAATCATTCCCATTTTACAGATGAGGAAAACATAGAGACTTCAGGGGGTTCCAGTCACGGCCACAGTTAAGTGTCAAACTCTGGAGTCAGTCTGCCCTCCTGGTTTCCTAACCACTCTGTTCTATGGCCATCCTTTGCTTTCTCACACGGAGAAGCAGGGATACGTGGAACAGTGGGGTGGAGAAAGGCTGCGCCTAAATGCCACCTGGCCTTTGTCTTCGGGACTCAGCATCCACCACCTCCGTGTGGTCAAACATCATGGCCACCAGGGGGCGCATCGACTAACCCGCGGGCGCCGTGGGAATCGCTCCCTCTGCCCTCGGAGCTGTTGGTCCCTGGTTTCTCTCCTCTGCTGGCCAACAGAGATGACGTCCACCCCTCCGTGAGCCCACAGCCCCTTTCCTTCCACCTGTAGCGTTCCAGAGATCCATGTAGCTGCCCGATGCCCTCGGGTGACTTACCAACCAGGCATTAGCTCAGCAGTGACCAGTCTTCCAGGCTGCTCTCTCTTCACATTCGTAGTCTAGGGATCATATCCCCTGGGCTTCTACCTTTCCACCAGCTGTCCAGAAGCCTAGAAATTACTGCGCATCAGTATTTCCAGGCTGCTGCGTAGCATAATCAGCTTGACGCAGAATAGACCATTTGGCTCAACATCTCTCAGGACAAGGTGTGCTGGGGTGGAGGGGTCGAGCCCTTCCACTTGCAAAGGCTCCTTGTTCACCGCATCTCAGGAGGCAGCGGACCCGGCCCTGGTTCCTAGCCTCCCACCCTGTCTTTGAGATGAGCAGTGCACTTGGCTACTTCATGAGGTACCGTACTGTCCAGCAGACTCGAATAAACCCTCCCAGAAGTACAACCCGGGGCCAATTTATTTGCTGTTTCCTTCCTTTTTCCTGGGTAACAGAGTGGGGTATAAAAGCAGTTACCTTTACCTCATCAAATGGGGTTTTTCCGTTCACATTTCACAGTGAAATCTTTAATCAGACATCATTCGAACAGCATTCTTAGACCTGATGAGGACAATTCAGACATAATCTCTGAGTTTAAATCAGGGAGGGCCCTAGAACAGTACGTTAGCTGTGACGGGAGCTGCTGTGTGCTAAGTATCAGGCAACGGGAGGCAGTAGAGCACTGCTGAGGGAGGGCTTCGTGGTCAGAACCAAGCTGCAAGCTCTGCGTCCCCACGCGCTACCTAGATGGCCTTGAGCCACTGTTGACCCTTCCTGCCTCTGCCATCTGTTTGGCAGAAAGCGAGGCAGCTCCCACTTGCCTCAGGGAGAAAGCACTCTTTTAGCCCCCGGGTACCAGAAGGCACCACCTGGGAGTGCCACCGTCACAGGCTCCAGCCGCCTTGCCCCATGCCGTGTCCCTTTCCAGGAGGCTCGTGCCCTGCCTGCCTACTTGCCTTCCCCACCCTGCTGCCCTGCTACCCGCGGACCACTCCATGCATCTTCCCCGCCTCTTCTGTGGGACTTATGTGAGCTTCTGTCTCTCTCTCTCAGGCCACAGGCATCCCATCCCAGCACATCCTGGTGGCGGTGCTCCCTGGCTTGCCCACCGCGGCGGAGCTCTTTGTCTTGCCCTATCAGGATCCAACGGGAGAAAACAAACAGTCGGCTGAGGACCTGGAGCAGGTGAGTCCCCCAGGTGATGCTCAGCTTCCACAGGAGTCTAAGCCACACCCCTGCTGGTACCTGACCCCCCACCACGGCGCTCTGGGGGATCCAGGCTTGAGGGTGAGAGCGCTGGCCGTTTGTGGTCCTCTGTTCACACCCAGAATCCACTGATTGGAACTACAGCCTCATAGTCAGGCCCGTGCAAGGTGGTGGCTCACCTCCTCAGAAGGTGTCTCCATGCTGTAGATTAGAGCGCTGATAGGGAGTTAGACACATTGGTGGGAAAACGGGCCAAGATAGTAAGTGGGGAAGAAAGCAAGTGGCTGAATAATACTTGGAAGTCAAACCCATTTATTCCTTTTCTGACTTGGATCACAAAAGTGTCATTAGAGTCAAATGACATGTGATGCATGATACTGTTTTTAAAAGGTATGACTTTTATACATACCCTGAACCCTCTGTATCTCCACCAGGCTAAGAGGACCTGTTCTGTGTTTATAATAAATGAAGTCATCTTGGTTCCAGACCACCTCTGCTGGCTGTGTGGGGTCCGTCTTTTCTTCACGTCCACTGCCTTCTGGAGTAGCTGACTCTGTGTGTGTGTGTGTGTGTGTGTGTGTGTGTGTGTGTGTGTGTCTCCTGCCCCCCTTCAATCTCTTCCCCCCCGTCTTTGAACTTCAAAGGAGTCTTTAATCTGTGTAGTGAGGTTGATTATTACCTTGTTCTTCTACTTTCTCTTCTTCCTCTTCCCATTCTCCTTCCCCTCTCCCTTCTTCATCATCCGTTCAGTTAAAATCATCAGTCTTGGTCTGGTTACCCTGCTAGAAACTACATGAATTTGGTTTCTCAGTGCTTTCTGGCAGGAAGATTAAAAAATAGGATTCTTTTCTCAGACTCTGAATAAATATTGGCTTTCTCCCCTCCAGTATGTGGAGTTTTTCAATTTGTTTATAATAAGCCCATAATCTAGTCGCACGATCTCTCGTCTTTGAAGATGGCTTGAGAACCTCCTATGACAGGCTTATTAACAACAACCCCAAATTACAGCCTGGCTCACCTCCTAGCACACACCCTCCTTTCAACGGCACTTTCTCACTTGGCAGAAGGCTCACCTCGGTAATTTTCTCCATGCACAAGTAATGTAGGACAAAGCTGTCCTGGAAAGCCCTGGTGAACTCCATTTCCCGCGAACTGCTGTTGAAGAGCCCGCCACAGGTCGTCCGTCGGATTTGCATCTGACCCCACTCAGCCCTGGCACTCGGCTTCCCGCTATTTTCCACAAATTATTATCTGCACCTGCAACTTTGTGGGAGAAAGAAATGGATTGCTTCTTATCCCCGCCCCACTGCGCCCCTGCGGGGGAGGTAGATGAGTACCGAAGGGCCTGAGGTATGAGCACGTGCAGTCGTTCCTCCTCTGGAAATCGTGTCGAGCTTCCATGAAACTCAGGTTATAACCCTTTCAGGTACGGAAGAGAGTCCAGACTTAGAACCAGCTGATTTCCGAGGCATCCCGTCCTCTGGGCATTTCTGTTTCTAACACTTACAATTGTTTTTTGGTTTTTTGTGGTTTTTTTGTTTTGTTTTTGTTTTTTTCTAAAAGACATTTTCTTGAGAAATCTAGGAAGAAGAGGGTTATGTTCCGTAAAGTTTCTTTTGCTTGTGTAGGAATGTATCTTGTTTGGACTCTTCTCTGAAGCTCTTGTTCCCTTTCATTCTCTCTCTCATCTGACCACCCGCCTCCAAAGACGCGCTGAGAGTGGTGGACTGACTCTCTCAGGCTGCCTGGTGTCACTGATGAACCACCGAGTCAGAGGTCTGAAGGCTGTGTGACTTAGCACTTGGCACACATTGTAGGGAGACCAGTCTTTTTATTAGAGCACAGGGGAGTGGGGCACCTGGGGGGCTTACTCAGTTAAGGGTCTGATTTCAGCTCAGATCATGATCTTGGAGCAAGGCACATGCTTCTCCCTGTCCCTTTGCCCCTCCCCTGGCTCAGCCCTGCACCCCCCCCCAAAATAAATAAAATCTTTAAAAAAAATAACGGAGAAGTGGAGAAATTAAAAAACAAAAAACAAGTTTTTAGTTTTAGCTCTGATATCCATTGTATCTATTATTTATAGACAAAGTAATTTAGGACTAGAAAGGTCATGTAAATCAGCCAAAGTGACACAATCTATAATGCCCATTTCATAAGGTGTTTGAGAGAACATTCAAGACATGCCATGCAACGTACTTGACTCCTAGTAAATGGTCAGTAAGTGATAAATACGTTCTGGATACATTTGTAGCCATCTCGAAATAGGAAGAGGATATACGGAAATGCAATATGGGAGTTTAAGCTTGTGAAAGAGACTATTTGGTACAGTGAAGGGCACATATTGGAAGCAAGAGGCTGGCAAGAGTAAGAGGATGATGACCGTGTGAGATTATACAAAATGGAGAAGACAATGAGGACAGTAAGAAATGGAAGGAATGCACACGAGGGACGACACAGGAGTGGGGGAGTGCCATCTGAGTTTTTGTGTGCACTTGCAGCATGAAGGAGAGCGAGCTACCAGGCTAGCATCGTACGTCTGTTGAAGGAAGTTGCAGGAGCACGAGTCTTCCTTGGGACTCTAACCAAACAAGTGCCAAACCAGGCACAGAAGAAATGAGTGTCTTTGTCGGAGCGGATATTCTTACCCTGATTTAAAATGTGCGGTAACAAAATCTACATATAAAACTGAGCCACTTGTTGAGATGCTGAGAAGTGGCCTGCCATCGGAAACCTGTGGTTTTCAACCTCTGAGGGTTCTTTGACCCTTTTCTCTGACTCAGTCCCTTCCAAGGGAGGGAATTCAGGCCCCAGCACGGAGAAGTGACTTGCCCGAGGTGACACAGCTCTTCAAGAGGATGAGATGCTACTTGGGTTTCTGCAAGGAGCTCAAGCCTGTGGCCCCTGACTCTGTACACCGCCCCCTCCCCGCCACCGCAGATGTGGATTGGAAGCCGCTTTGCTTCGGTGGGTCCCAAACGACCAAGGCTGTTGCACCAGGAAATGAATGAGAAATGTTTTGTTTTGAGTTTTTGTATCTTTTTTTTTTTCTTCTTTTAATTTCTGATGCAGTTGAGAGGAAGCCGGTTCAAACCAGTTTAAGCAAAAACAGTGAAGCTAGGAGCTTATTTTATAGAGCGGTCCAAGGATACAGTTCAAGCATGGATTCATTCAGTGAATTCAGAGCCACTCAAAAATGCCACCAAATACTCCCCTTGCTCCCCCTTTCTCCATCTCTTTTCTTTGTTTCCCCATGGAGAGTCTGCTTGAGAATGAAGCCAGCGGGCAGGAAGGCAAAGATGGCCACAGGTGGCCCCTGCTTCTGTTTAGCTGGCCTGTCAGCCACATCTGAAAATCAGTGCCTCCCTCTCCCAAGAGCAACACAAGAACTCCCGTGGACAGTTCTCGCTGGCCCGGCCTGGGAGAAGTGAGCATCTCTTACCTCGTCCCTGTGGTCGGGGGGACAGAGTGCTGGCTCCAACCACTCAGATGTTTTATGGGCCGCCTGGATCATGGATTCAGGAAGCCTCTCCAGAATCAAGTGGACAGAGAGTGGAGAAGGACATGATTCCCCGCAGAAAAACAGGGAGAGAGAATTAACACCAGGCTGACAAAAGCAGCTGATTCCCTTTGTAATAAATTCCACAGAAACTTTAAAGGAATGCAGAGCAGAACCAAACAGCAGGAGGAGATGCTTCCTGCCACGTGCCCCCCACCCCCAGCCCTCCCTGAGGTCTGCACTCCAAATCCCAGCTGGAACTTGGGAGGGGCTGACCTTATCCCTGTCTTGATGCTCTGGCTCCTTTCTTGTAAGCATACTACACAAAACCCCCAGCGGGGGAAGAAGTAGGACCCCGGCCAGATGGGCCCAGGGAAACCTGCGAGGGGGAGGCCCCGGCAAAGGGCTCTTGGCTCTCCTCCCTTAGCCTTCCTAGGGGAGCAGCCATGCTGGCTCAGATCAAGCTATCTTGTCTGTGAAATAAATTGAAAATTCCTCACAGTGAGAAGTACTTGACCCTGTTATCAGGCTAACGTGGGCAGGGTTAATCAAGTGACCTCTGTCTGGGAGGGTTCCACCAGTCTTTACTACAGATCCCTGGGGAGCGAGAAAAGGCTCACTTGCCCTTAGCTGGCCTCATCAGGGATAGCACATCCTGCTGCCCCAGCTGCTCCGCTATGGAGCAACGGCCCCCCGCCCCCGCCGGTACTCCCTCGCTTCTCTCTGAGTCCTCAGAGGGGAACAGATCTGTTTCTGGCTGTCCCGGAGGGAGGAAAGACCATCATGTTCTATCGAGATTGTTTGTGACACTGCGCTGGAGAGATAGGGAGCCTACATGTTGTCTTGCAGAATCCTTAAAGGGCATGAAACATTTAAAAAGAAACAAGAAGATTGTGGGAAAAAATGTCAACCACCAACACTGAATTTCCTCCTTGGCTGTTTCCGTTACCATATACCTTTGATCAGTGGAAAATCAAAAATCCAGAGAAAGGAAAGGTGCCTCGGAACATGGACAGTCTATTCACAGCATTTTAAGGAATTCATTTAAATGGCAGCATTTAAAGATTCATTATGAACTGTAATTGATAATCTCAGACTATTACCCATATAACCTACCCTGTCCAGATTTTTTAACATGGGGAGTTCGATTATAGAAATACCCTGGAGTTCACAAGGAAGATCATTAAAACAGGAAACTATAATTGGAAGGTGATCAGGTAAAAGTTGGTCTGGAGGGAATATGGCCAAGGAAGACAAATTTAGAGCTGGTGATGGGGAATACTGGGAAGGAAATATGTACAACCCAGGTGTTTCTTCATTATATCACCCAGGAAACTTCTCAGGCACTTTAATCAAGGTGGTTCTCTGGTGCTAACAATGAAAGGAATTGGGTAAGCTAGTGTTAAGTAGAATGAGTGTTTGGTTCCCTTGCTGGCCTCATGATTTGATCCAAAAATTACATTGTATGAATTGGAAAAGCTCCTCCTTTGTTGAATCCAAAAGGAAGATTCTTCAACTGCTGTTTCAAAGGACCTTAATAATATAATAGGATCAGGAGTGACAAGGTGGGTTAGCTCCAAGGTCATTACAGGCAAATATCTCTGAACATGGCACCAGAATGCTATTTACGTTTAGTAGGGTTTGCATTCCTCCTGCCAGCTTCAGGGATAAATGTTAGCATTCTGGCCTTGTGCAACTTTATCACTGAGAAGTCTGCCAAAGACCATTTCGCATCTATAGTTTCACCTTGTACCACTTGTTTGGCTTATATGTTTTGTGAATTTACCTACTGCTCTGTTCTTAAAGTTACCGGTTTTCATGTTTCAATATTTAACGTGTTTCATTCTTATAACTTGAGAGAGTGTTTTCTCCTATTGGTTACATTAAACATTGATTCAGCATTAAATTTGCTCATTGTGTGGCAGCCATCACTGCTGTTGACTATTTCCAGCTCATTTCCTTCTGGATACATGGTAGGCGGGTACCCTTGTGCCTCTTCTGTGGGCAGAACCATGTGACTAATTGTGGCCAATGAGTTGGGAGCGGAAGTGATTTGTTTCCTTGCAAGGGGAAGTATTCAAATGGCGGTTACAGATCCTGGAGGGCTCCTTTTCCCTCCTGTGGTGCTGTGGACAGAAACATTTGAGGGCACAGCTTCACCAGCCTGTATCCCTGTGTGATCATAATGAACACAGCACCTCCGTCCACCTGTGGTGGGTATGAAGTGTGACGCAGAAATAGACCTTCATTGTTGGAAACCTCTGAGCCTTTAACCCTGTTACCCCAGCCTAACCTAGCCTGTTCTGATGTCTGTACTTAAATTTTATATTTTGTGAAGAAGATACATAAGAGAACTGGTGTTTTCCCTGTAGCAGCTCCCTCCCACTACGCCGTGCTGATGGTAGCTTTCCGAGTATTTTTATTGCGTCTCCACTGTCTTTTTAACTGGTACTTCAAGGGAAGTGTGGGCTGCCCTGGAGTCCCAAGCAGAGTCCACCAATGGGCAGATACCAAGGCTAATACGTTGTTTCTTTGGTCAAGATTGTTTAGAAAGAGAATAGAAAATGGACTACGTAGGAGAGCAGCAGGAGAGGGCTAACGGCACAAAGGGTACGTGCAGTTTGCTAAGACAACACACTTTCACTGGCCAGAGAAAGAAAAATAAATATATTGAACCTGCTTCAACAAGTTCGGTGTCCCCGGAGTCACACCTTATCCCACTTAGTCTCTATCATGCTAGGTTCTGTTCTCCCCATGTAGGCTACAGTCACCTGCCCTCCAGATTCCAGTTTATGCCACCCTTTCACAGCCAAAGTCTCTCCCAATAGTACAGACTATATTGACTGCTGAGCAGAATGCGGCAGTCCAGGGGAGAGGGCTGGCAATTGCCTGTTGGCACAGCTCGTACTGGGCAGCTGTCCTGGGACTGGGCTGATGAGTGCGCCTCAAAGACGAATAAGAGATGGCAGCATAATTAATGAAATGCTGCAGTGTTTTTTTTTTTTTTCCTTTAATTTCTGAAACCTGCTTAGCCAGCCCTCTTCCCACATATCTCTTGCTCTCTCCTTTTGTCAGCTGGTTCAAGGAAAATGTTTTTAACAAAACGCCCCAGCATTAGGAATCAAACAAAACTGAAGTCTGGTGTCAACTCTTCAAATATTAACTGGGTAAACTTAAGTGGATCCTGTAAGCTCCATGGTCCTTTCCATGGAGACACCAGCACTAACACCTAAGACATTCTCTGTTAGAAAAATACTCAGACATAGGCAGCTTTGCCAATAAAAAGTGTTCAGTGCATATATATTATGTATATGGTGTATATACTTGGGTATATTTTATGTATAAAATATATAACAACTCATGATCTGATGGAAAATACAAAATAATTCTTCAAATGGCTTGAAAAACATTTAAAATTGTAAAAGTCTGTCAACAATTTTGTACTCATTTATTTGAGTAGAGAATTACACGGTTCTAATTGAGATTATTCTTGTATGCGATGTACATTTTATTTAATTTTGTTTCTGTGCATAATTTCTTCCCCACAGATATGTGTTCTTTACTGCGTGTCCTTTCATGCAAGTTATATACATGAAACATACTTTCTGCTACCAGATTATCTTGGCATAGCCTGCTTAGTTTTGTACATGGTACAGAGGAATCCAATGAAGCAATGTTGTAAACCAAAACAAATCCTGGAAGTTAATTATTTTCACAAAGAATTTTCCCAGAGATTATAAATTAGAAATATGTTGTTCTGATGAACACTTTCTTCTGGGTTACTTATTTGTACCTCTCACTTGAGGAAAAAGCATCCTTAGGAATAAGAAGTAAATATCACACCAACTGGTTGAAAGAGAGAAGTCTTTCTCTTGCGAATACATATTTCCCTCTTGGCCACATGATGGACTCTGCAAAGCAGTGCAGTTCATAAATTACTTCTGAGAAGTCTTTCCCATTTGAGTTAAAATATTCCTCTTCAAATATAAATATAGATATATACACATATATGTGCATATGTATGTAAATGTGTACATTTCACACACCCATACATGCACACACACACACACATTCCTGGGTGTGTGTCTGTTTCATTAGCAAAAACCTTGCTGAATGAACTCTACCAAAAATCCTGCCAGATTCCCATAAATTTACTTACCAAGTAAATTATAAGGTAGAATACAAGCCTATACATTGCAACACTTTAGAGATGACACAGAGAAAGCGTTCTGCACAGTCTGTGTTAGAAATCTATTCCTGTAAACCTGGAGCATTCCAGAGGATTCCCAGGGCCCAGGAAAAAGAGTAATATAGAGTCTACTATAAAGGAGAAAGTTGTTTTCACCATAAGTGTATCACAACCTTGTTTTTCTGCATGGTTTGCCAAGTGAAAGCATTTGAGATGCTGAGTTTGCACTGGATCCCAGGTGCTCAACCGCGGGTCACCAACAGTCGTCCCAAGTTCCTGTGGTTAAGCAAAGAAGTTCATCTGCAGGGCAGCTCAGTTCCATTACCCACCGGGGGTCTGCCAGGGACTCTGCTTCAAAACAGAGCCATCAGGCCCTGCTTAATTGATAAAAGGATCAATCGAAGGTGTCATTTTGGCTACTCAGTAGGCTGAGTGAAACTTGACACATTTTTATAGAAGGAAAAAAAAAAGATTGTTAAAAAAGCATCTAATTAGACCTAAATAGCATATTAAGTAAAATATTAAATTGATGATTAGAATGTTAAAAATAAAGTAAGATAAAAATAATAGGAGTGTGGTTTTCCCTGAAATTGTTTTCAATTTCGATTTCAATTGCTTTTCAGAAATTGTTCAGAAGGATAAGAAAATGGGGCTGGATTTTCTACTTTAAACAAGTGAACAGAACAGAGTTTTACCTTTTCTGTCAAACCTCTCTTTATGCTGTTACTACCCAAATATGGTTCTTTGCCCTTTGTTGAGGTTCACTATTTCAAGGCCCAGAATCTCATAGGTCTGCCCAGTACACAGGTGTCCGCCTGGGGAGTAGGTTAGCTAATGTCCATAAGCAGGAAACAAGGATCAGCCAATGCATCACTTAGATTGTGCCTACAGTTTGTTCCAACTGTATAATTTATTATTTTAGTGGAACTATATTTACCATTCAGTAAATATTTATAAAGTGTCTATTCTGTGAAAAACCACATAGTACAGTCAGGGGAAGGCAAAGGAAGCACAGAGAGGAATGGGATGGAGTCTACTATCAAGAAGTAAAATAAATGCATACAAACCTCACCAGAATGTAATAAATTGTACATAATTACTTCTTTTAAGTCTTTGTGTATAATAAATGCTCTTTCAAAAAAACTGGGGGTGAGTTTTCTAGGATAACACAGGATAGTTTTTTTAAGAGCAGAAATGTTTGCATTTACTAATAGTTTGTCCTGTTTTGTAGCAATTAGGATGTAAACCCGGGTCATGCTTTAAAAATCACTGTGTGCGCATATTCCAGAATAAAATCTCAAAATCACACAAGACTCATTTCTAGAATTCACAGGTATAAGGTTAGGCTGCCTTGGTAAGTGCAGTAAATATTTCTCAGCCTATTTGTTTATTGAAAGGACTAGCACTTTTGGAGGCACTCACTGAAACCCTTCTTCTTTCAGATATCAGAACTGCTGATCCACAAGCTCAACCAGAACTCGGTGCACTTTGAGCTGAAGCCCGGGGTCCAAATCCTTGTCCACGCAGCCCACTTAACAGCAGGTCAGTTTCCAGGTCCCTGGCTTCTCTCAGGTGGCCCTCACAAAGGGGGATCCCAGTCTGCTGTTTCAGCACAGATGAAATGATGGCACTGCCAATGCGAAATAAGGACGCCAGTCTTTGGAGGTTCCCTTGCTTAAGGTTTTTGCCCTCATGGGGACCCATAAGACAGCAGCATAAGGAGACTTTCCTACTTAGTCACTGGCCACAACTGTCAGGGAATCACCTAAATACTTGCTCCTTATCAACAGGAGTCTCGAAAATAAAGTTAAACTTAGAATAACTTTTTTCCCCGATCTTTTGGCAAAACCTTATTTTCAGTTATTTACGTTATAAAGAGTTTTCTCTCATTGAGTTTTGGGATAGTGAGTAGAAATAACTGGGACTTAAGCACTGCACAGGGCCATAATCAAGATAAACCCTGAGTGGGTCATGTAGGATCTTAGGATCATTAAGCTTCTGACTCTTCACCTGGAAAAGGTTGGCGGGGCGAGGGTGGAAGGGAGCGGGGTGGATCCTCCTATTAAGGCTGCATAGAAATCTCAGTGATAATTCAGATAATTCCAAGGGTATGGAAATAGATACTATTGTGTTACATTAATACTAAATTAACAGTATTTATTGAGAACTTAGAGTATAGTTCTGGTGCTGCATGTAATACAGAGGCTGACAGGAAATGGTCTTTATCCTCAAAAAACATAACCTGAATGGAGTGTGGCGTCGTTTGGTGGTAACAGTCGTGGTGGTGTTGTGGGCGGCAGGAAATGGGCAAGGGTGGGGTATCTCAATAAGTACAATAAATAAATGCTTATATAGAGAAGCGATACAGTTCAGGCACTTAGATTTTGCAGTTCTGCAGCCATATCGTTGGTTTCAGTCTTAGTTCCCTCACTTGTCCTATAGACCTTGAGAAGAGACAACTTCTCAAAGGCTTCAAAATGGCACCAACACCTATGTCTATGAGATTGTGCAAGGGTGAAGTTAATTCAGTCAGTGCACTTACAGTAGTGCCTGGCACATAGTAAACTATTGTTTTCCTTCTATTTTTTTTATTATTAACAATCAAAATTGTATAGGAAATTTGAAAACTGGAGATTCTGGGGGTGTGCCTAGGTGTAGAGGAAGGCCAAGTAGGTTGGCTGCTGGCCTCTTTTCTGTTTGGATCATCTCTCTCTCTCTCTCTCTCTCTCTCTCTTTTTAATTTATTAGGGTTTCATGAAATACTTTGTTTAGAGAAAATCCCACTGCCTTAAAACCAAAAATAAATATTTAAAAGTCACTGTTGTGACCACAGGATGGAAGAGGAGCATGGAAGTATGCCAGGCTGCACTTCGTACTAGTTTGGTGGGCTCTGGGAAGCCATCAGGGTGTTTGAATGGCAGTGGGACTGACTTAGAGTGTCCCTTGAGGAAGCTAACTCTTAAGAGCTGGGAGGATTGAGGAGAGCTGATCTTGTATTCTCCAGCCTGCCATCCTAAGTCATCCATTGAACAGGCATTTGGAGTGCCTCCCTACCCTGAGCCAAGCGATGTTCTCAGCACAGGATAGGGTCTGTACCTTCATGAAGCTTCCGTCACTGGGGAAGGCTACTCGGGGAACAAATTAATAAACACTACTTTCTGAGTTGTACTGCTGGTGAAAATGCCATGAAGAGAAGGAGAAAGTGTGAGAGCATAGAGAACGATTATGCAAGACCTATGAGAGCAACCTTTAAGCCTAAGGCATGAAAGAAAGCTGCCAAGTTATCTCAGGCCATTTGATGATCTAGGTTAGCTGTTTCCTACCAAAAGGTTGACCTTTAGTCTTTGGTGGACATTGGTGACACATGGCAATTACACAGGGCTGGTTGTACTGGAAAACAAAGTTCAAAAGCATCAGCTGTAGTCATCCTGATAGCCAAGCCACTGACAAATTTTTCAAATGGGTGGCAAGTAACAACTTGAAATTGTTTTAAATAGATTTACTGATTAATTTAATTAGGCAGCCCAGCCTGTTTAGGTGGCAAACCGAACCTTATCAGCCTCTCCTACAATAGCTGGAGCTACTTGTTCCCTTTCATTCCAGAGGTTAAAAACATCTGAGCCTGATGTTCCATACTGAATTCTGGATTTGAAGGGATGTGGCCAACTATCCCATCCTTTGTAGTCAAAATTTGCTTTACAGCTAGACAGCTTCTATGTGAACACTACCTTTAGGCATCATATTTGCTATGGATTAGTTTGATTTATTAGAAAAAACTCCCTTACTGTTTACCAGGAAAGGGGACCATCTTAGGTTAAATTAAATAGAGAACTAACCCTACTCATCCAGCTCTGAAGGCCACCTGCATTTCATACCTTTGCTTCCTCCCATACCCCCATACTTATCTTCTGTTATTTTATGTGCCTGATTTTTATTTAACTGTTTTTCACATCACACGCCAGAAATGGTTCAGAATATCTTGCTGAATTTGGAACCTTATTTTCAATATTACTTAAGGAAGCTTTCCTATAGTGGCGACTGGTAGAGCTGGGATCAGACTTAAAAAAAAAAAATAGGTATCAAAAAAGTGCTAATTAGCTAAAACTTGTTTAGCCAGGGCTTGGCCAGGGAAACAGATACAGGAAAGGCAGGTAAAGGCATCTATGTGGGATTCATAGTTCCCCGTGGGAAGGAAAGCCCATTCCTGGTAACCATGAATGGTTAATTTCACCAATGTAAGTTCCAGATGGCAAGTTTGGGAAGATCTGGAAAACTTCTCCAATTAATGTTCACGATTCATTCCATCACTGGGAACTTGGGGAACAGGACTCAGATCTCCGGGAAGAAGAGGGTGGCCAAAAGAAGGTATGTTAACTGGGAACTCATGTAAACACACTGATACTTGAAGACTCCCCACAATGGAGATCCGTATGATGAAAGATTATCAAGAGACTAAAATTAAAAAAATAGTTTGAGGCAAAACCCCAGTGACTATGCAGTTGGGAGAAAGTGAGAAGTCTTTTGACTTCCAACCATTGTGGGCTGTTCAGGGTTCTTCTCTGTCAGATTGGATAGTAGGACTTTATGGCAGGATAATTCCAAACCTTGATCAGCTGGTATTATTGACGATGATACTGATCAATATCACTGATCAGTATCATGACTGGCTCATAGAGTACATATGGACTTATATGTGAATAATCAGCTCCAGTTTGAAGAGTAAAGGGAGAGGACATCAAGGGCTAAGAGAATAATGGAATAGGAAACTTGGTCTGTGTTGAGTGTTGCCATGTTCTTCACAAGAGCAGTAGAGTTGGTCATACGCACAGGTGCAGTGTCGCTCATAGCCTGACTGTCACTACAAAAGACAAGGCTGATGTGAAGATGGGCTCTCTTCGGTGCCTCTGGTGAAGAGGGAAGCATGTGAGGGATCTGGTTCCCTGGGAGTGCCCCTAAGTTGGCCCTAGCCATCAGGAGAGTGCCCTAAGTCAGCCCTGGCCATCTGATTGTTGTAAACTATTTGAACAGAGTAGTAGATTGGGTCTACCAAGACACTGGTGGGAATTCTCTCACACTTAGAAAACATGGCACACTGGGTGGGAGATCAGTGGATTGAGACACTTGCCACACTCTCTTTGATTAAGTTAAAATCAGCACACTCCTGTTTGGCTAGGAAGAGAAGGATGAAGATACGTGGGGAAAAGAGGAAACAGTGAGGAAGAGTATTTGATGCTGAACTTCTACCTCACTCCTTTTCCCTTCTTTTCATCTCTCCTACAGGCAGGAGGACATAAAAATTTAAAAAAAAAAAAAAAAAAAAAGGAAAAAGGACCACTGTTTGCAACATTTCATGCCTCATAAGCAGGATTGCTAATACCTTCCCAGGGACCATTACAGCCGCTGCTGCATCCCATTAATTGCCCAGCAGATGTTCGGCAGCCTTCCTTTAAAAATGTTTGAGCCAGAGTGTGTTGCTAGTGAGAGAGGCAGTGCATAATTTGTTTTGTCTCCAAGGAAAAATTGCTGTCTCCTTTCAGGAATTTACTGGCCTTATTTTGTTTTTCAAATTCAGTTCCCTGTTTGCTTTTATGAGAGCACTAGGTAAGCACTTCTCGGTCCGGACGTCATTAGAGACTGGATGTAGGCTGTTCACCCGTGTTCTACCTGGGAATTCGTTAGCTTTGGTGTCTACATGGATCTCAACTTGGAACCAGTCCTTGTTTTGTTCTTAGTGATTCCCTGCTTCTCTCTTTCTCTTCAGTTTCTCCTGAGAGCTCGGCCACTCAACAACAATGTTTCTGAAATTCTCTTTGTGGAAAAAAGGGATTTGAAATTACCTGTGAATAGGGTGAGAATGAGAAGCCCTTAAGGAGAAGTTGAGGGAGGGCTATGACCTGCATAGCTCTTTTCGGCTTTGGGGACCTGAAAGCATCTGTGTTTAGCAGACAAAGGCTATGATGTTACACAGCCCAGAGAGTGGGAAAAAGGAGTAGAAATCGATCAAGCCAGGCCCTTGACTAGAAATGCTGGTGTTCTGACTGAAGTGTACCTTTCCTCATGCTGTTCCCAAGTGAAATACTCTTCCCCCATTCACCACCTCTCTCCATCTCTTGTCTCTTTGTATTTTAAGGGTCAGCTCAGTGCCAGCATTTGCATGGTGTCTTTCTAGAGACTTTACTAGAAAAAAAATACTTTTACTACTTTTACTTTTATTATCATCTATCCCTTCTCTGAACCCACATGGATTTTTAAAACCTATATTTGTCTGATGATGATGATGGTAACCATTGTACCTAGTAGAGAACACACACATATCAGGTGCTCAGTAACTGTGGCTTTTATAAGTAATTACGTGTGTAGTCAGATATATTCAAAATCCCATTCCCTCTGTTAACCTTTAGGTTCAGTTTATTCAATTGTGAACCTCCCCCATGACATGCTGCTTCTTACCAAACAACTGCTGAGGGGAGACTTGCCTTCATGTACCCAACAAGCATCTGAGGAAAATGCATCTCATGTTTCTGTTACATCAGGAATCCCTT